TTCTCATCATGGGGAGGGACATTACACAATGCAATATATTTTTTGTTAATCCTAATTTCTCAATTGGGTTTTATCACAAAGGATTTTGTTAGTAAAGCTTTTAAGCAGATATATTTTTGTCAATGGATCTCCAAGAGGGAGTGTGATGAATCACCACATCTGGATGCCCATGATTCGACTTATTGGCCACCACCATCATAACATTATGAAAAATTACAAACTTAGTTTCTACCGTAACATAAAGGTATAAATTCATGTTTTGTACCATTAAAAAATTTATATAAAAGGATGTAGGTTCAAACTGAATTTGTACCATAATATTAAAGATACAAGTTCAATTTGTACTATAAAATATTTTTAAAACATAATAATCGATGAAATAAATTATAAAATTTATCGTAAATAAGTACTCATTCTTAGCTAGTTTTTTTTTTTTTTGTGATGATGACATAATATTATTACTTAGAAGAAAAGAAAGAAAAGCAAACACAAGTACAAGTACCAAGGTTTCTCAAGGACCAGCACAAAACAAAATACCTATTTGTTGTAGCTAGTTGTAGTATGCTCATATTTCCCATTTACAACAATTTTTATTAGGGCAAATACTACTACAAAACTCGAACTATCCGAAAATGCCACTTATGTCCTACTGCATTCAATATTCCATTTCTATTATGAACTATATGAGTTTGTGACATTTGTGTCATGGCATTTTAAGTTGACCGTTAGAGATAACTATTGACCGGACGGAAGTCAAACTATTGTTGACTTTCGCAGATGTGGCATCCATGTAGATGTCATGTCATAACCATGTCATTATTTAATTTAAAATTAAATTATAATAAGAAAATTACATAATTTTTAAATAATTAAATAATAAAAAAACTAATTAATAATACATAATTTTCCAACTCTCTTAAAAAATAAATAAAATAAAAATGAAACTCCCTCCTGTCCTCCCATCATCCACTTCCACCGTAACCTTCCTCCGTCCTCCGTCCAGCCACCTACGCCCTCATCCCATCATCTTCCCTCCAAAGTCCAAACCTAGTTGCCATACACCCTCTATGTTTCTCAATTCAATGCTGAATCATCTCTGTCGCAATTGAATCATCTCCATCGCTCTCTCTTTTTCGCTCCTGATTCGTCTCTCTTTCTCGGAAAAATTCCCCAACCCAGAAACCCTTTCGACGACGATGCCATGAGACTCTCATCTATCTCCAGTCCATAACAAACATCGACCCTCCAAATTTGCTAGACCCAGTGGAAGGAGATCCGACTCGGAGATCAATGCGGAGAAGGGTCCTTTCTGTTCAGATATTCTTTCTCAACAAAAGTTAGGAAAACGACGTGTCTTGTGTCTCGTTGTGCGATTGGATTTGGGTGAAAGTACGCAAGGAATGGCCTCACCTTGTATGAGCTTTACTAGGAAGGAATTGGTTGCTCAATCTCCGCCACAAGCAAACAAATTAGAGATTTAATTGCCCCATCTACGCTCAAATCAATCTCGACTCGCAAAGGAGAAGAAGAACGACGCGACACCCTTTTCCCTTCTCGTTCTTGGTCTCGGCTGGGAGAGGCAAATGACGGCGGGGGGATGCAAAGGACGGCCAGGGAACGCGAATGAATTTTGGCGGTGCCCTTCTCCTTCTCGGGCTCGGCTGGGAGAGGCGAATGACGGCGGAGGATGCGATGGTCAGGGAACGCGAAAGACGGCCGGAGGGGGCCTTTTCGTTTTCGGACTCGGAGAAGGGATTGGGAGTTTTTATTTTGTATTTTTTATTACATTGAAAAGTAAATAAAAATAATATTAAAAATTTCACATCAGATTTCACGTCGACGCTGACTGGATTTTCTATTAGATATTGACTGTAAAACTCGATCAACCCTAACGGAAAAATAGTACAAAATAGAAATGAAATATTGAATAATTTAGAACACAAGTGACATATTTTTAATAATTCGAATATTGTAGTGGTATTTGCTCTGTTTATTATCATAATAGTGTTAACCCCTTAGATCACTCCTACAACACAACACAATACTAGTACATAAATGGACCTCAAACTCAAAGCCTTGGATTTGGGCTTCTATATAATTCACTTCACGATCAGCTTAATTCGGCCAATTGGTCCATTCCTTGCTTCTTGTACTTGGACTATAGCCCACTTTCATTTGCTGTGTAACTTTTCAATAGTCCGGCCTCACTATAATTTATTCGGCACGCCCAATTTTCTTAATTTAAAAATCATTGGACCATTTTTTTTTTTCTTCCGAAAACATACATGAAGATTTCGTAGAACGAGATTTAGGCCATGAATTCATTGAATCCGTAGATTTTGTAGAAAGTTATATTTTTTTGTTGCTTTTTGTATTGTGAATTTTAGTTTTAGAGATTTCAAATTTCTAAAATCTATGGATATCAAATCTCTCATAATCAGAGAGATTTTATAACTTGATTCGTGAGATTTTTTTTCTCCCACTTTTTCTCTTTCTTTTATTTATTTATCATATTAAATATATTTAGTAACAAAGTTTTTAATATTACTCGAAATACTCTAAATTTGTATTAAGGATAAACATGTTATTTAATATAAATTTTATATTTTTATTTTCATTGAATGTTAACAATCACAGTTACCAAAGAATAAACATTTTAAAATCTATTTTCAACAATCCAAAAAATTAGAATCTTTAGATTGTTGACAATCTATAGATTTAAACTCATATTCTCCAAACGACCCCGTAACTCACTTTTTTCTAATTAAGATATTGTTCGTTTTGAATATATCTCGCATAGTTTTGCTTTTTAGTGCATCATGATAATTTTTGAGAAGTCACTCATCTTTGCATTCTTTTGTACAATGCAGTTAAAATCGCGATTCTACCTAAAAGTCGAAAAAGGGTAAAATCGTAAAACGTAGAATCAAAGCATAAAAACGTAAGTTTTTTACGGATAGTGTAAAATGGCTAAAAATCTGTTAAGTGCGACATATACTTTGTAAAATATGAGTGCACATAATTTAGATAAGTTAATAAATACATGCAATTCATGTATAAAGTAGAACAACTCATAGCATCTTAACAATAAGCTCACAAACATAGATATTAACAATAAGCCACCGCCCCCTTTATGCTAATGAATTTGGGAACTCATCAACTATTACTTTATTGAAGTTGAGAATGCATCCAAGACCTGCTATGTATCTTTTAATATCAAATATATCATATTGTTGGTGATTTGCATTTAAAGTATACTTTTTATAATTAATTTCATGAAAAGAATACCAATTTAGTGAACTAAAAGCATAAAAACGTAAATCGTTTTGGTGAGCTAGAAGCGTAAAAGCGTAAGCTTTTAAGCTTTAAAACGCAATTTAGTCTGAATTTATACGCTAAAGATTTTATATTGAAGCAAAAGCATTTTGATGACCTAAAAGCGTAAAATCGTAAGTTTTTAAATTTTAAAGCACGATTTTGACTGCATTGCTTTCGTATTTAGCACTTCCAACTTCTGAATTCTTACAATAGCTCATTCATCTAACCAAAACTCTTCTTATCAGTTAAATTTGAATGTAACTTATATGTTTATAAATATCTCATACTTTATCGACATAGAATCTGTCTAACGAATTATACACTCTCCTTTAATACTCAACGTCTTCGCTCAAGTGCAGTATTCGTGTGTCTCACTATAATTTCCTCTGTATAAATCATGCATATCAGCATATGACCAATTTGTTTTTTGTTTTCGAAAGCATCAGGCCCGACTTTTTTAATTGTAACAATTGGGGCTCATTTCATAAATTTGTATCCACTCAAATAATCATGGCGAATGAAATTTCTTAAAATTGGCTATTTTTCCCCAAGATATCACGCGTTCTTTTTTATCCATTTGAAGTAAGAAAATCACGCGTTAATGTGTAAGATTTTCCCCAGTTGGCATACATAAAAATTAAAAATAGAAAAGAATTCCCGATAGACTTTCCAAGCTCCAAGCCTCCAACCCATTCCTCTCCCTCGCTTATCTTATTGGTGGTGATGACTGATGATAATATAGTCGTTGCTGAAATTAAATAAAAAGCAAGTCGAGTACGTAATATATAACGAGGAAAAGAGAGAGGAATTCAGAGCGGGCGTCATAAAGCAAAAACTATGCACCACTCCAATTGGGTTGATCTACACAATCAGCTAAACGTCGCCATGTATATATAGTCGCTTCTACCGTAGGTTGGGTAAAATCTAGAATATGACATAATATATTGAGTAAAAAAAATATTATTTAGATCACCAAATAACCGGATTTTTTAGCATGATACTATACAATAACCGTTGATGAATGAACCCTAAGTCTCAGTTATCTAAATCATAGAGCCTAACCCTTGAAATTGTGCATCTAATTTGCTGCATATATTTCGACGAATCATAACTTTAGATTTTTATTTCTAATTAAATTGATCTTAGTATATGAGATTTATAGACTTAAGACCTAGATTTTAATCTTTAATAGTACTAGATGATAAACTCTTATCAATTCAAAATCTAGATATCATTTTCATATATATAATATATGCTATTGCATGTTCAGTGCACAAGTACTTTTTCCACGATATTATTTTCTGGAAAAGAAATCCCTTGAATTAGGGAAGGGAAGGAAGGAGCAATTATTTATTTTGGTTAATTCAACGGCGAAAGGAGTATTTATTTTATTTTATTTTATTTTATTTTATTTTATAGCTTCTATCATGTTATTGCTTACGTGATGTGCATGCAAATTGGGCAAGAAGGGATTTCGTCTGCTTATGCTGTGTTTCTTACGATTTGGCAATTTCCCGATCCCGCACACTTCCACTTTCCCTTGCTTGTCTTTCGTTCTTGTCCTCATTCTTCATTTCATCAGAAAGAATTACAGTTATCTTAAACTCTACATGTTCATCCAACCTTTGAGCTTAGTTTTAGATGACAACAAGCTCAATATTATTCAGTAACATCTAATATGTAAACTCTTGAAGTCTTGATTTTGCAATTTCGACCAATCAAAGCCACTCGATAAGCAGGCAATTTGATTCACGGTTTCGCTCCTGTTTGGAGGTGGAACCGGGGATGTCTTTTCGGTAGGGGTGGCAGAACGGTTTTCGGTTAGCAGTTAACCGGACGGTTTCAACTAAACCGATCGATTTCGACTAACCGAAAAACCGATTCTGAATGCATCGGTCGGTTGGCGGTGGTTTTGGGCAGGGGTTCGGCTAGCCGACTTACCGGGGTCGAAAACCGGCAGTTAACCGGCTAACCGACCCCTACTAACCCTAAGTGTCGAGTCTGTCCTCAGCCCTCCTCCTCCCAAATCCATCGCCGCTCACTGCAGGTCTGCAGCAGCCAACAGTTCTTCCAATTTCTTCGCGTCGTAAATCTCCTTCTCCCAAATCCATCGACCTCTTGCAATCCCCCTTCGGATCCGTCGATTTCCTCACCACTGCCATCACTTCCCCCATCGACTCGCCGCCGCCCAGCTCCCCCGCCGAAGAACTCGATCTCAACCCCATAAGCACCTGCCGCCGCATGTCAGTCGGATTCAGAATCCTCTCCTCGCCACCGTCATCCGCCGCCCACCGCAGTAACCTCACTTCCTCGTTCTCGCTCCCGGTCATCTCCCCGGCGCGGTTGCACTCGCACGAGGTATCATCGAAGGAGAAGCTTCTGGAGGAGTAGCGGAAGCTCTCCGTCTCGTTGCCGTCGCGGGCGCCGTCCTCTTCCTCCGATTCTTCGTCCCCCTCGTCGCAGGGCGCCACCACGGGTCCGGGTCGCCGCCTGGCGTCGCTCCTCCTTGCGGATTCGATCGAGTCGCAATTCGACGCAGACAGGTTGTCGTGGAGAAGCGGCGACCTCGAGTGACTCGGCACCATCCGCCGCGGCTGATTGGCGAGGGGGCGGCGGCGGTCGTCGGGGGGTGGTGGGCGGAGGAGACGGGAACTTGGGGAAATTGGTGTCGCGGGCTTTGGGAATGAAGGGCGAGAGGCGGTAAGCGGGGGCGGTTGGAGCGACGCCCGGTTAGACCGCACATAAACCAAAAACCGACCGGTCGGTTTGCGGCTAACCGGGACTACTGGGACGGTCGGTCGTCGGCAGCGGTTGGTCATGTCTCGGTTTAACCGAAAACCGAGAATTCGGTTTTCGGTTAAACCGAAACCGACCGGTTGCCACCCCTACTTTTCGGTACTATACTGAGAATCATATATCGACCTAAATTAAAGAGAGGTTTTGAAATTCAGCTGGTTAATTGATATATACTCGAGAAATCGGTAAAGTCTCTGTCTCTCTCTCTGCCCCTTGCTTTTTCCAATGCATTGTGAGGTCAATGAATCTTAGCCAATTCGTTTGTGATGAAGAAAGAGGAAGGAAATGAAAAATAGTGAGAAAAAAAAGCTGCTGAAACGATTATTCATGCAAACCTCATCTAGCATTGTCCCTAGCTATAGCTACGTCTTTATATTGGACCTTTTTCTCTCTATATAACATTTCCCCATCTTTTTTCCGCCAGACGTTTTGTGGTTTCTTGGCATTCAGTCATTCACGCTACGAGATGGCTTGACAAAAGTTTGGATGATGGTTTGCATTTATATATGTAGTAGCCAAATTGCATGCATACGTTACCAGTTTAATTCCCTGAGCAATCACCGTTGTTTGTTTCGCAAGAAAAGTGTAGGCGGGCGGCTCGCGGAAAAGACAATTGGTTCAAATTGCAACGAAAGGTGAGGTGTACAGTTTTGTTCTTTGTGTTGTAAAACCCATTAATGGTTTTTTTGGTTTCTCATTATTTCATCTTATAGCTTCGATAGTGAGCAGGGTATGGTGTGCATGACAATCGCGCAACTTACTTTTAATGAGTTTCATCGATGCATCTTAATTTTTTGGATAATAATAAATTCAAAATACAGTTCACATCTCGTAGAGCAAAAGCCCGAACAATGGTGTTTGATGTTTGTTGAATTCAAATCGAATTAGTCTACTCATATGGAGATTACTAGAGAGGTCCGCAAACTCAAACTATGAATATGTCTATGTTAGAGAGTGGTATAAGATCCACGATTGAACCTCTCCCAACAACTCGAGTTATTGGGATCAACTGGTTTTTGACATGGTATCAGAGCCTAGAACCGAAAGGTCATGTGTTCGAATCTCCACGACCCCCAATATTAACCGTTGTCTTTCAAGCACATGGTATGGTGGGCCTGTGCAAACTTCAAGCCCATGGGTTGGCTTTCGTTTGAGGGGGCGTGTTAGAGAGTGGTATAAGATCCACGATTGAACCTCTCCCAATAACAATCTACGAAAGTTATGTGAATGCTTCAAGCTAAAAACTGTGACTATAGCTATATATTACGGAGAAAATGAAAAACATGACATGTGTATCCGTTGTGGAATTGACATTTCTTGTTTTTGTCAATCTTTCCTCCTATTTATAATAACCCTCATGAGATGGAGAAGGTGATGAAGTAACCATCCTGTTGAGTTGGGCTACTAAATGCCATTCCACCATTGGACATGGTTAGTATAGCTGGCTCTCGTGCCTCCAAAGATATTTGTAACTTCTCTTGCGAGGTGTCTATTTAACTATCTTGGTGTTTTAGATAGCCTCGATGACTTGTTTAGCGCCCTGATACTTTGATGTGATGCATCACAGCTTTGATGACCTCTTGCTCTCTCGAAGACTTGCGACAAGCTTGAAGAATGTGACAAAGTTGATGGAGTTGGACGGTCGGTGATCATTTGTGAAATTATAATATAAAATAAGTCATCATTAGCAATTAAAATTCTTTAGCGATAGATAAACTTGAAACAAAATAATAAATTTATTGATCAAACTTATAATTTACCCGTTCTACCCTTTAGGTAGTTGTGCTATGTATCTTCTCTTAACTTGGCGTGGTTGATCTATTACTTCAGAATAGTAAACCAAATTTCCACTATCATATCATGCTCGATCTACTAAAAAAAAGGTAAAAACAATTTAATAGCCAAACCTTTCACCCTAAAACAAAATAATAGCCAAACTTTTTCGAAAACATGTTATTAGCCAAATCGTCAACTCTCCGTCTGGTCAGCCGTCAGTTGACTCCGACGTGGAATAAAACTGTACACGTGGCACATTTTTTCTGTTGTGGCACCTAATTAAAATTAACCAAAAAATGAAATAAGAAAAGGGGAAAATCAGAAACATTATCTAATCACTCCCTCTCTCTTCACTCTCTTCCACCCAATCTCCCCGTTCGATTTTCTCCCTCAAAGAAGAAGCCCTCGACGACTCCGGCGAAACCAAACCCATCGCCCACCACAGAACCAAAATCAACGGCGCCGGCTTCGTCCCTCGTCATGTGAAAGCCGGAAAAGGCTAGCGTTGCTCCCGGCCGTGCATTCCCAGGCCGGGGATTTTGGCGAACGAAGCGTCGGAGCGCTGGCGAGGAGACGACAGAGCGAGACGACGGAGCTCTGAAGGAGACGACGGATTTAGGTACCCCTTCCTCCTCCTTTTTCCCTTCATCTTCCTTCATCGTCGCGGGAATATCGGCCAATTACATAGAACCAGCCCAGTAGTTGGAACCAGCGGAGGAATAATCATCGGATTCCGATTCCGGTTACGCTGCTGAGGAGACCTTCCTCGACGCGACCTTCTTCCTCCGTTGGGTGCGACAACGATGAGCGGCAAGGTGACTTCCTTCATCGACGGATGCGACTCGGCTTCTCCTTCCTCCTCGGCAACGGCGCGACTTCTCCTTCCTTCTTGGCGACACTGCCCAAATCGGAGAGTTGAACCTCTACAGCGGGCTTTCTTGAAGAAACCCAGATCTCAGGGAAACAAAATCGTTTAAAATCCAGATCTGCACGGCGACATGGGCCCTTTCCTTCCTTTCTCTGGTGGTGATTTGGTAGACGAATCGGCGACGGCGACCTGAAAGATTGACGACGGTCAGGGCAGAGTGAAGAGAAAGAGAGGAAGGGAAATCTCATTTTTCATTTTTCGTTTTATTTACCATAAATAAAGTTTTAGTTTATTCTTTTTGAAAAAATAAATATTATTTGATAAATTTATCTAATATCCATGTGACATAGTCAAATGTTTGACTTTTTGCCACATCATCATAAACTATCCATCTCATTTAAAATTTTGCCACGTCACGGTCAACTAACAGTTGACCGGACGGAGAGTTAATGGTTTGGCTATTATTTTGTTTTTTTAAAGGTTTGGCTATTATTTTGTTTAAAACGAAAGGTTTGGCTAATAAATTGTATTTACCCTAAAAAAAATGTCTCGCAAGTCGCAACTGCGATTACAGTCATACAAAAATTGATTAATTAGCAACGTTTCAAATAACAATCAAAGTGAAAGGCAACAAAACAACTGCTTTGTGTTAATTAAAAATTATTAGCCGATAATCTTTTTCTTTTCTTTTTTGTGTGTTTTAACAAAAAGGGAATCAGAAAATCTAAAAAGCTGGGGAAAATATTTCCTTTTAAAGGATTGAATCAAGAAACGTACACAAGCATGTGATGATGATAAGATAGTAAGCAATCTTTTGACAAAAACAAAAGGATAATATAGTAAGCAATCCAACAAAAAGGTAAATGCCAAAAATAGTATTAAAATGAATTGGCAGTCCTAATCAGTAATTAATTACATTCTATTTTTCTCATAAAAAATTACATTCTATCTAATTAATAAACTGCCTACAAGTATTCATTAAAAAAAAACTGCCTATTGGCTATTATCTATCTGATAAATAGTAATCAATAATATAGTAAGATTTCCAACAAAAAGGTAAATGCCAAAAATAGTATTAAAATGAATTGGCAGTCCTAATCAGTAATTAATTACATTCTATTTTTCTCACAAAAAAATTACATTCTATTTAATCAATAAATTACCTACAAGTATTCATAAAAAAATAAACTGCCTATTGGCTAATATCGATATGATAAATAGTAATCAATAATGGATTCTATTTGCAGCAAAAATAAAATAATAGATTCTCTAATTAGTAAATTGTATTTTTCGGGAGCGGATCAAGTTAGTAACCTTCATTGATATTTTTTTTAATTAAAACAAATCGAAACATTTAATATCATACTAAACATGGTGGTACTGCTTGGTACTACATAAGATCACACCACGTGACACAGACGTGTACTATGGTGGTATGAATATAACATAGTTTAGGGTAGTTAAATACATGATAATAGAAATATATGACTTGTTATTTTCATAAATTTGTAGATCCAATTGACAATGAAGATTTCGTTCCATCTACTCAAAAAAATTCAAAATTCGAGCTACAAACGAAGGTGGCAACGAGTGGTATGAAATTCTTTTCTCAAACTATATTGATTTTCATTTTGTAGATCACTACGAATGATTTTTCTGGTAATTTATCTCTACATTTTCTTATTTATTCCACTAACTATACTTACCAATAGATTCTTAATATTTCTCAAGCCATCTAATTGTTTTAATTAAGAGTAAACATGCCATTTGATAAAAAAAATCTAGTTTCCATTGAATGTTAACCATGATAGTTACCACACAATAACTAATTTTAAATCTTTTTTCTACAATTTGAAAAGTTAAAATCTTGGAATTATTTAGAATCTAAAGATTTAGACTCTAACTCACAAACCATCCCTTAGTTAAGAACTAAGCAATAATAGGTTAAGATTTTGTCTCGTGAAGTTGTATTTAGGTTTTTTAAAATCAAATTTGGATATAGATGGTTAATAGTTCGAGACATATTAGAATCTGTGGCTCAATTTTCTTAAAATGTACTCAACCCCAAATCTCAGTCCTTCAATTGAGCCAGTGATATTTGATGTTTTAAGAACATATGCGTAGATACCACTTAGTCTTATACACAGGGACTGGATACGGTGACAACCCCCTCAGGGGTTGTCAGATTGACAACCAAGAGTATTTTGGGTATGAAAAAAAGGAATATATTAATTACCTTTTTTGTATTAATCAGATTGGGAATTAAAAATCCATATTAAATACAATTTTTTTTGAAATTTAAATCCTATACATTAATATCTCTATCTCTCTCTCTTCCTTTCTCCTGCGGTCACTCCGCTTCGATGGACAGACTTTTTCTCTGGCGAATTCTCTCCGGCAGACTCCCTCCGGCAACCTGAAAAAAATGTACCAGTGCGTTAAAAAGTGTACCAATCTATTAGTCTATTGGTAATTAATATACCAGTGCTAGTGGTACGCTACTAGTGCGTTAAAAAATGTACCAGTGCTAGTGGTACGCTACCAATGCTAGTGGTACGCTACCAGTGCTAGTGGTACGGTACCATTAGCAGTACCAGTACCACTGGTAGCGGTACCATTGCCACTGGTAGCGTACCACTAGAGACTAGCACAAAAAAAATCAGATCTGAAATATGAAAAATCATAGATCTGGAAAAAAATAGGGATGACGAAAGGGGGAGGCAGGGGAGAGGCGGTGACCTCGTGGCGACGGTGGTGGTGGGAGACAGAGGGCGGCGGGAGGGTTGCGACGACAGTGGTGGTGGGAGGCCATCGCGGCGGTGGTGGGAGGAGGAGGCCGCGATGGCTGTGGGGCGAGGGCGGAGGGCGCGATGGCTGCTGGGAGGCGGAGGGCGCGACGACGGGAGGGCTGCAGCAGTGATGAGAGGCGGAGGGCGTGGCGGGTCGGCTGCGACGACGGTGGTGGCAGCCGATAGAGAGAGAGAGAGGGAAGAGATGGGAGGAAGAAGAAGAAGAATAGGAAGAAGAAAGATGGCGTGAGAGAGAGAGAGAGAGGAAAGAGAGAGTGTAGGGTTTTAGATATTAATAGGGGTAATAATCTAGTGTGATCAATTTTTTTCGTCCAAAAATACCCTTAATCCAATATGTACCATTGATTTGAAAAAAGAAGAAAGAGACAAGAGAGAGAATGAATCCTATGGTTATAAAATGGGTTATCAATCTCACAACTCCTAATGAGGTTGTCACCGTATCTCATCCCTTATACACATTATCTTTTATCAATTAACACATACAACAAGTACAATTATTCTAGTTTTTATGTTTATGGCACCGATATCAATGAGACAAAAAAAATTGTATATGTTAATGGGAATCGAGTTACAAATTAATGAATACGGGATAGGATTATGTTGCACACATAATTGTTAATTGATGGTTGAACTAAGTCCAGCTCTAACTAACCATGTTACCACACGTTCGGTTAGCTTAAAATTGATCAAACGGGGTCAAAATCTTCATGTTTTAATGCCTTAATAACTAAGTGAGTCACCAAACTCTTTCTCTCTTTATTTCCCTCGCAAATACTTCCTCTCTATGTCTTAAATTCGAGTATTGGTGTCGTTTGGAAGTTGTGATTGTTAGATAGATGTATTTGTTGTGAATGCATGTATAATATTATATATATATTATCGAATTTAATGCATTGGAAAATGCAACGTTTGATATGTGTGATTGTGTATGTCACATTAGCGAAAAGCTAAGACAAAATAATCTCAACAATCACAACTAAAACCTGATATATAACGATCACTTATTTTGAGTGATAGTTTATGTTGATCATAACAACAATACATGTATTGTTTATGATAATAAATAAATAAATAATGATGCATTCTAAATAATATATGTGTAGGAACAAGCGCAACTTCCAAACGACCACAGTCAAATCATTTTATTTTGGTTCAACCCGTTGAAACGTGATCACCTTCCTTACTCGGGTTAACTGTTGGAACCAATTTGACAACCTTGTTGCATGATGTCGTATTTTGGATTTTAAGGCGTGCATTTTTGTGTGTGTAAATTGCAATCGCTTGAGATTGGAGTTATAGGGTGTATGGAGTATAGCCAGGTTTACTGTTGACATATCAGGTACATTCAAATACATTACCCAGTTAATGGGAGAAAATTGAGTTATTTGGGTCCGGGGAATTGACGGGGCGAATAGCAACTTCATTTATTTAAAATTATTGAGCAACAAAGTCAAATGTAAGCATAACAAATCTTCCTTGAGTGTTTAGGACCAAGGACGAAAAAAAGAATCCAACAAAGGAAAAACGTTAAAGATGATCATGATAATTCCCAAGAATTGAAACTTTTGATCAGTCGAGGAGCAATATCACCATTCTTTTCCAAATTTTGATCAGCCATTTTGAATACTAAATAAATTTGTTTAGTATCTATAAGGTGTTAAGATATAAGTTGAGATTATTTATTATGATACATATAATAATGTAATTTGAAAAATATTATGATGTGGATACTTACGATTTATAAAAACATATATATATATTTACATGTTCCCAAGCCTTTAGTAATTCGACTATGGGAAACCAAGTACAAAATCTTAACTAACATTGTAAAAAAAAGTATATAATTTCTTAATAATGATTTCATTTCATGACAACGAAATTCATTAGTTAACTATTATCAAGTCGTATAATATTCGCATCATACCGATTAATTAAAATCTCAAATTTGTTAAAAACTATAATTTTAACTAATTCAATTTTCCGAACAATGGGCGGAATACAAGCTAGTACTAAAAATGTCATTGTCCATTTCGCATTTATCAATTCTACAGAAAAAATGAAAATAAGATTTGTCTAGCTATTTGAGTAAAAGAAAATGATTGTGTACACTTTGTCCATAGCATGGGAATGGGAGTACAAATCTGGTCGGACGTGGTGGGAAGATCATCTCAAACGTTATGTATGTTTTGGGTTATACTTATATGTGGGTTGAGTGGGATAATATTCGTGTTGTTTCAAGTTGCTGTACATTCATTTAAATATATTACTCAAAGAAAATAAATGTAACCATTTTTTTATGTGAGAACAAATAGGGAAAACATTTTCTAAATGTGAAAGAGAGAATAACTTGAAAATAGAGTCATAACATTTAAGAGACATATATTCTCACCCCTCCATATTTTTATTAGGGGAGACCCGTGAGCTAAATTGTTATTTAAAAAAAAATTAAAATAGAAGAGATATGAATAAATCTCAGGACATACATAATAAAATGATAGAGAAGTAGTATCAATACCCTAACTTGTATGAAGTGGATAATTTTTGCTTTCAAACAAAAGAAATGTATGATTTATTGAGTTGGATTGATATTGCACTCGGTTTTTAGATTTACTTTTCGACTTTAAAAGCTGAAGCAAGGCCAAATTTGAAACAACTCTAAAAACTCGGCTTTTGAAAAGCTGAAGACGCTTTTGTGTAACATAAAAGCAGAAGCTCCGATTCGCAGCTTCTGTGAAAAGCTGTTTTGAAAATATAAGATTATCCTTACCATATTTTAATTTTATTTCACAAAAATAATTTATATCATTTATATCATTTTAAAAATAAAATAAAATATATTATTTAATATAAAAGAAATCTAACAAGATACATTTTGACTACTTTTTATTGTTTAGAATTTTTATTCATAGTTTATATTATAAGTCTTTTATAGTCATTTTACATAACTTCTCATATTGAAAAACACTACTAATAGTTTTTTATCCAAACATTTAATTGTTTTTTTTTAAAAGTATTTTTCTAAAAGCTCTAGCCATAAGCTACTTCTGTCAAAACTACAGCAGGGCCAAACTAGCCCATTATCATTCATAATTGTACATTTATAGAGTGATGATTCAATTGTGATTTATCATAGTTACCAAAATTGTTTTTTGAACTGTGTGAGGCAGTAAATTAAGTAATGATAAATCACAGCTCCAAAAGGAACATAATATTTCTTCAACAAAAATAATTCGTAGATAATAGATCACGAGATAAGCTAAAAATTTCAAAATAAATGGTTAAATGATGAAATAATCTTACCTGCCACTTATTTGAGTAAATATTATTTATTTACAAAAAAAAACCCCGGATTTAAAAAACCTATATTTCTTTATTCAATTTCAATAATTCCTTTGGCTCCTCTCCTAAAGTTTCAATTCCGTCTTCATCATTTATTTGCTATTTGGGGGATTCCCCTGCTTCAGTTTCCCACCGGATTCTCTGATTTTCTCCACTCTTTCTTTCTCTGTTTCTCGGCGGGGTGTTCTGTGGTGTATTGTGTGTTTCTGCGAGTCTGGGAGCTTTGGATCTCTTAAATGTTTTGCTCATTCCATGCTCAGATCTTATTTGTACTTCTTCAAAAATTGAGGTTAGCAAACGAAGATCTCCATTTCTCTCCCTCTCTTTCTCTGCAGCTTCTCTGTTCTTCTTCTTTTGACCGTTTGGGCCAATCTCCTTCGCTATGGCTACGCTAGCTGGCTAGGGTTTGTGTTCTATTCGGATCTGTAGAGAACTAACTGGTTAAAAAAGAAGAAACATTCTCAGCTTGCCTTCATTTCCCGTTTCTGCCCCCACCTAGTTGGTTGCAGAAAGTTAGGGTTTTGAATTTCGGGGGAACCCATGAGCAGCACTTCAATCTCAGTTGATTGTGCTTGATAATTGACTGCAAGTGCAAACCTTAATTCTGGGCTGTGATTAATTTGAGCTGAATTATGTAGTTTCTCATTCCTTGTCTGTGGTTCACAGGTATTCCATTTTTGCCCTTCTATCGTCCCTGACTTCCTTCGTCCAACACCTCTGAACATTTTGCCAAGAGAGGGTCCAATTTCAGCTTAATAAAGCTGCGGGCTTTACTATCTTGGCATCTTGGTCTCTGATTCAGGTACCTCCCCTTTATTTTTGTCCTTTCAGTTGTCCCTTTCATTTTCGTTGGCATTGTCGTACAATGGCTTTTTTCTTGTCTGTAGTAGCTGGATTTTGTGTTAAGCGAACTGAAAGTTTCGAGTGTTTTTTTTTATGGTAATTAATTTCATGTCCGACATAGCGCCATTTCTGTTTTGCCCCTTCTCGATGACTTCGTATTTAATGTGTTTATGGTTGCAATAAATGCTGCCATGTTTTCCATTTATGGAGATGGAGATTCTGGTTGGTCAACAAAATAAGTTGTGTGCAATAGGCTTACCTCTTCCTTTTGGTTACTTCATCAGCTCTCTATCCTTTTGGATGCTACGGGATGTTGAATGTTTGGATTTTAGAACTCCTTGTGTTTAATTTTATTGATTTGATATCATCCCTCTTCAGCTTTATTAGGGCTTGGGACTTCAAGTTTTGTTGTTCTTTCTTCCAGGTTTTTTATTTTTGCTGTTTCATCAGCTATCAGTCTGTTCACACGAAGATATCAGAGCATTTGCCAATAACAACGCCCTGTTTTGATCACGCAAACCTGTGAGCAATCTGTTTTGGCAACTTGGTCTGATTCAGGTATGCAAATGAAAATCCCTTAGTGGAACTTCTACATGAAAAATGTATAACTAGCTAGTTTTGTCTCTTTTGATCGAATAAACTGTGAAGAAGAAAGCGTCGATCGAGTAAAGTTTGCTTCTGTCGTTTCTGTGAACAAAGACCGACTGTATATTGTCGTTTTTCTTTTCCATCTGTTTGATTAGTGGTTTGATTAGCGGGCTTTTAGCTGTTAATTTTATCAGCATTACAACACATCACTGTTAGGTTGTTCTTTCCCCACTAGAGTTTTCGGTGTCTCAAGTGATCATTTCGAATGAGGGAGCTCCTCATAATTTGCGTTGTAAGTGATGTTCTTAAACATTCTTGTTTTGTGATCTTTTTATAAGAGAAGTACATTGACTTGCCTAGTTTTTGAGGGTTTAACTTTTTCTATTTCGATCTTTGGGTTTGTAGTTCTTTTACAAAGTTGTTTATCTATTGACATTGTGACAAATCACCCATACGTTATTATTTTTGAGAATTTTGATGGGTCACTCGATTGAGAGTTCTTTTGTCGTTGGCCCATTTAATCTACCTGGGAAGGGAGCTGCATGTAAATTTCAGTTCTAGTTTGTGGTTTTGCGCCGCGCCTACTGGTTTTTCATTTTCAATTTGGTAACCGTCGTTGACTTCAATAGATGGAAGGATTTTTATTATCCAACTCCAGGTTTGGCATCTTTGTTAACTTTTCAGTTTTTCAGAAAACTTCACTGATTGGTTGTTCTCTTTAGAGAGATTTTGGTTGGTCATTAGAGCGAGCATTTTGTAGTTGGTCCACATGTTCGTTTCAAGGAAGGGAGCTGCTTGTAATTTCTCGTTCTAATTTGTCGTTTTGCGCCTGCTGGTTCTGCATTTTCAATTTGGTAAAAGTCATGTCAATCAATGGAGTGTTATTTATTTTCTCTATCCGTATTTGGTCTCTGTAGCTACAGAATTTAATTTGCTTCATGCTGCTGAGCTGTTATTGGTGAACCGTTCTATATATAGTGAACTTTTGAGGTCTCCAGTTGTTATTCAGTGACCTTGTTTCATATACAGTGTGAACGTCTGAGATTGTCTTGACCAGTGCTGCCCTTTTCCTTATATTTTCTCTTTGTCTTCTTCACTGGTAATTATCTATTTCTGAAAATATAAGGTGAATTGTGGTGTCTTGGCCATCAGGTCTTTTGCTTGCATAGTCCAATTTGTTTCTATGTGCTTTGGCTGCCCTTTTCATTTCTTTCCCATAAACAATGGATACTTTTACTGGACTTATTGTTTGTCTTGCTTCTCTAAAGAGTTTTTTGAAAGAGATTGAACGCGTGAGAGAGATTGAGTGCAAGTATTGAAAAGCTATGGAGAAAAAGGCGGTGCCTTCACGTTTATTTGGTGTTTGCCTTTTGCTTTTCCCCCATTGATTTCTGTCCTGTTTGATTGAATGATTTTCAGCTATATGATACGGTGTTTGCCTTCTTTTTATTAGGAGATGAGTCGCATGACAAATGAAGGCAAAGATTCTGTTCTCCCCAAGGATCAGATAGAATCTCCACTGGTCGAAGAAGGAAATTCTGCTAGAAATATAAATGGGGAAATGAATCTCAAGAAAGGTCCATGGACAGCTGCAGAAGATGCAATCTTGATGGAGTATGTGAAGAAACACGGGGAAGGGAACTGGAATGCGGTTCAGAAGCATTCTGGTCTTTCTCGTTGTGGAAAAAGCTGTAGGTTGAGATGGGCTAACCACCTGAGGCCAAACTTGAAGAAAGGAGCATTTACCCAGGAAGAAGAACAGCTAATCATCGAGCTTCATGCCAAAATGGGGAATAAGTGGGCTCGCATGGCCGCTCATGTAAGTCTGTGTGTATGTAAATGATTCTGTGTTACTTGATGTGACAGGGAATTTTTTCTTATTATCGGATCTCACCTGAAAGTAGTTTTGGCCACACTTAAGAAGTTAACTACTTGATGATTTTCTCCTTTCTGGTCCGTCCGTTTGAGTTTTCAGAAGTCATTTGCTTTAACTGATGCTGTGTTAGGCTGCTGGTTTTATTTCAGAAGTCATTTACCATGTGGTTCTCTTTGCTACTTTATTGCCTTTTCATTTTGGAAAGTTTCTTGAAAATAGTCACATGTTGACACTTGTTTGATAATGTTTCTTCTAATCAGGGAATTACTTGATTTTCACGATGAGTTATGTATTCTAACTCTTATTCAATATTTTGAACTCTAATTGAAAATCTGAAAAGAAACACAATATTGCTGCCGAATTATCTACAAAATGGAGATAAAATTATATAGCAGTGGAGTATAGTGGCCATATTAGGTAGATGCGTTTGGCTCTGAACTGTAAGTAGGTTATGCAGAAACAGAATCTTGAACATGTACCATGAGTTTCGTTGACAAATGCTATTATTTCTTATCCAGGTAATGTAACCTCTTTAACTTAAAGTCTCTTTTGGCTCTTGCAGTTGCCTGGACGTACAGACAATGAAATAAAGAATTACTGGAACACCAGAATCAAGAGACGTCAAAGGGCTGGTTTACCTCTTTACCCCCCTGAAGTCTCCTTGCACCCATATCGGGCTAGTCAACAGGGCTTAAACATAGGTGGGACAAGTTACAGGTCTAAAGGACATCATGACCACCTCTTGCACAGCTGCTATGATATCCCTGATGTCCCATTTGACAGCTTAAAACCCAGTCAGGGGAGGATATCTAACTCTGCTCCTGAACTTCCTGATAACATTACTCCAAGTGACATGCTGATGAAAGGGACGGGGGGTTCTCGATATGATAGCTTCAGTTCTCCGTTGATGTATCATGGTCAGAAACGGCCTCGAGAATCATCAACTTCTGTGTCATACAGTGGTAGTGGGAGAAATGATTTCTTATTTTCTGAGTCCTTTGGCTTGTCCTTCCCATTCGATTCTGATCTAAACAGCACCAATAAGATCCAACAACAGCAACAACTTGGTGATGATCAGGACGGCCATACCCTTTCATATGGCAACAACTTCTCTGCTTCTAAGCCAACTACTGCGGCTATGAAGTTGGAGCTCCCTTCACTCCAATATTTCGATTCCGGTAGCTGGGGAGTAATATCTTCTCCACCACCTCTCCTTGAATCGGTTGATACTTTTATCCAATCTCCACGTGCTACTGGTACTACTGTTGGGTCAAATTGTCCTTCTCCTCGTAATAGTGGCCTACTGGATGCTTTACTTCATGAGGCAAAAGCTCTAAGTAGTGCTAAGAATCATTATTCTTCCGAGAAGAGTTCGAATTCCTCAACAGTTACCCCTGGTGATATTGCAGACAGTTCGACCCTGAATGCTTGTGATGCAGCAGAATGGGACAACTATAGTGACCCACTTTCTCCCTTGGGCCATACTACTGCAACTTCGTTTTTCAGTAAATGCACTCCTCCAATCAGTGCCAGTGGAAGTTCATTAGATGAACAACCACCACATATAGAGCCCTTTACAGGTATGCCTTCACTCCACTTTGTGTTTATCGAGACTCTGCTTCATGTTTCTGACGCATTTTTTTTTAGCATTTTGGCAATCCTCTCCAGCTTGTCTCTGTTATTCATCTGGGTTTGTGTTGATTCTCAAGACACAAGCTTTCATTTTGTTGCATCCGTAGTTTGTGACATAAAATTTTCGTCTTACAGGGCGTGAGATAAAGTCAGAAGCTGAGGACTATGCCTTGACCCCAGTAAGAGAAAGGGAAAGGGATACTATTACAAGAACTGATGCTTTACTCCCTTCTGACTGGCTTGAACAAGGATCTGGCAAAGGCTATGGTGTCAAGGATCAAGTTGTGATGACCGATGCCATAGCAGCTCTTCTTGGTGACGATCTGAGCAGTGACTACAAGCAGATGGCTGCTTCAGGAACATCGTCGGGGCCAAGTCAAGGATGGGTACTTGGTTCTTGTGCATGGAACAACATGCCTGCTGTCTGTCAAATGTCTGAACTTCCTTAGTGATGAGAAAATGACTTGTCTATCAAGAAAACGCAAACCCGGCATCTGAACCATTTTATTCTCATACTTTGGTGCTTCATCTATCTATTATCATGTGTTTCTTTTGACTTTACTGTCTTCGGGGTCAGAGTGAGTCAAGACAATTGCTTCCGGCTGGTGTTTGTAATATGATCATTGTGGTCGGTCTGTGTTTGTTATATGATCATGTGGCGTAGAATTTGCCTTTCTTTTCTTTCTGGGTCTCCCATCTGTTGGGAATGGAACAATCAAATGTATGAACATGTCTGCAACTCCTGAACCTTTAACGTGATATTTCAGTTTAAGTTGATGCTTCAGGATTTGCTTTGTTCAATGCCTGTTTTGTCGTATCATTAATCTCCAACTGATGAAAGAATTACAAACCAGAACTCATCTCCAAAATTGCAAGACAATCACACCAAAAACAGCATGAAACCTAATAGAAAACAGTTGTAGCTATGGTAAGTTACCAAAGTTTTGAAGTGCGTCTTCTTCTTATTATTCCTCTTCCCTTAGCAAGGTGCAAAACTGAAGGGCAAGTGAACCCCTGCTTCTGCGCCAGTTTCTGCAAATCGTCTCTTCTCGAGCCCAAAGTAACTCCAACGCCAAAAATGCAGAACCCTAGAAGACAATCCCTGGCGCCTCTACCAAACCCTTCAAGCAAAACTGCTGAAATTAAGGCCGAAGCCAGAACTCCAATGATCAAATCTTTGTCTGCTTTGCCAGAGGAAAACAACAAAATGGCAACTCCGGAAGCTAGAAGCAAGCCTAACAGAATCACAAAGTTCCCCTTCCCTCTCTTTCTTCTACCCCATCCTTCTCCGCTGCCGCCGCCAAAACCCTTCCAAGACCTGGACCCACCTCCACCTCCACACCCAGAAGTGCTGAGTTCCGCCAGAATCAGACTCAGCGGTTCGGGCAGCAAGCTGAGGTTGGAAGCCATGGAGAAGGCCAATTTGGGCAAAATCTCGGCTACCTTCTGATGCCCAGATACCCTCTTGGCCTTCCTTGCACAAATAACTGGGAGGTGAATCTGGGTTCGGGACAAAAGTAGCGGTGAAGGGCGACTCGTTGCTGAAATTTCGAAGAACCCATGGTGTTGCTGTGAGGGCAGAGTATCGAATTTGAGATTCAGCACGTTCTGCATTTCGGCGTGCTAGCCGGACAGAGGAGCCCAGCCAAGAAGCGATCGTTGTTTGGGGAAAAGTTGGAAATTTGGGAGATGGGAGGAGTAGGGAATCAAACTCCTACTTTTAAATGTCTTCACCGGGAAACCTTCGGTCAGCAGCTCCGGGGGGAGATAAATTGGTTCTCGCTGCTTCGCTGTACAGTACTCGACCTGTGACTTGTGAGCCAGTTTTTGGAGGGTAAGAGGCATATAATTGAATGGGCCAATTAAGGTATGGGCTGTTGTTATCTGTAATGGCCCGTTTTCGCTAGCCCACTCAATTATAACATGGCCCATAGGACCGTAGGATTAGTGGATTGCACTCTCTGTAGTTTGCCCCCCAACGTTTTCACTATGTGCTCATAAATAAATCATTATATGTATTGTGTATTGGCAACAAATTATTCTCTTTGGATCGTTTCGATCAATAATTTGGGTCTTAGGGCAAATTCTCACGCTTAAAATCCAACTAATTTAGATGAGTTATTTGGACAAAATTACTTGTTTGTTTATGAATGTGGGATTTTGTATCATATTGTGCGAAGACAAAATAGCTCTAGTTTATTATCGCATGTCAAAAAAAGGAACACATTCAATTCCTCTCTCCATTGCCGTCGACAAGGGGTTCAATTTTCTCTATCCCTTGTCACACAGTAGCAAATGAATGGTTAGAGGTCCCATCTCCACAGGCAGTGGCGGACCCAGAATTACCGGAGAGGTGTGTCGCTGATGAAATAAAATAATAATTAAAAAATTTAGTAAAACTAAATAGAAATTACTAGAAATTAATTCATAAAGCTCATAATGTCATATATACAACGAACCACGATGACTTTTCATGACCTGAAATATCTGTAAAATACATTCATCACTTATGTTGCGAAACAAATCCTTTTTGATATACACAACTAAACAATCATTCATAAATTGGTCACTCCAATTTCGAAGTTCATTCTTGATTATCTTCATAGCTGAAAATGCTTTTTCACGCCTTGCAATTGCAACAAGTAAAGTCAATACCAACTTCAAGAGCAAGTAAACTAAAGGATAAAAGAAAAGGGGATGTGACAATTGATCTCGGTAATTAGAAACTAAAAAGAGGTAAGGATGAGTTTTTTATTTTATGTTTATGCCCAGAAGCCTTCCTCCTCCGCTCCGCGCTCCGACCTCCAACACGCTTCTCTTTGTTCGTCTGCTTGCACACATAAGCCCCTAGCGGACTGGTTTGGTCCGTTAGCACTCCGACACCCAAGTGAGAACCCTTCCTTTTAGAGAGAGAAGTGAGGAACAATTCTAGTAAGAGAAGCAAAACTGAGTAAATGAGGTTTACCTACTTCACTATTTATACTCGAGGCGAGATCAACTGGTATCCGTCGCTCTTGCCCTATGTCAGGTCCACCATAAATGCACCGTACAACCCTGGCGCATGCGCCTCGACCGCCTGACACTCCAGTCAGAGGTTTGACGCGCATGACATCATGCCATCAGCTTTTCGTACACTTCCGATCGTTGATGTCTTTTGTCCCATGCGCCTCTCGCCAGGTGTCCGGACCCACCTGTCTCACGCGCCACCCTAGTCGTTTGGGCCCTTCTCCACGCGCCTCTCAGTCCAAGGTCCTTGCTTCCATGGGCTTCTTTAGGTTTCTCTGGTTGGGTCCATTCTTGTGCCCATTTAACACATTTCTCTGGGCCTTCCCTCTTGGGTTGGCCTCTGGCCCATACTTATTCCCCCAACAATTGCCCCCCAGTTAGGCGCCTAACGCCCACAGTTAGGGGCCTAACTGCATTCACCCACCTCTCCGCGTCACCGCCTGCCTTTACGCGTCTCTTCGATCGGGACTTGAGCGAACCTCTTAGGCACGCGCCCTGCGCTCTCTCTAGCACTTCGTCCGCTCCCTATGGTCCCCTTGGGTTCATGCACATCTTTTTTCTTTTTGCTTCTTCCTTATATACTTTTTCTTTTTTATTATTTATACTTTTTTCTCCCTCTTTTTTCTCCCTCTTTTTCTTTTGCGCGATCGTTCCTCTTCCACCTCTCTTTCTGTGCCGTTGTGCCCCCTGCGATTCCCCTCTCTCTCTCCCCCCAATCCGCTCTAGGTTCGAAATTCAAATTTCGAAATCATGAGCAGATTGGTGAGGCTTCTTCGCCTTCCTCCTCCTCTCTCTCTCCCCCACTCGCATGGCCTTCCTTATAAACCCCCCCCCCTTCCTCCTTCACAGTCCTCACAATTCGCTATCATACTCTCTTTACTTCCTCTCTCTAGCCGCCAATCCTCTCAACTGCTCTCGAATTGCTATGCTTCGTGCGCCTCCGAGTTTGCTATGGCGTCTTCTCGGCAAATCCCTTTTCCCTCCAATTCTCCCGCGCCTTCTGCTGAACCGACCGCCGCCGTCCGCGGATCTACTCCTCTCATTGTGGATGCGCCTCCCATGTCTTCCGCGCCTCCTGTGCCCTAGGCGCCTGCCGAAGTCCAGGCCGCAAACGCCCCTGTTGCTCCCAGTAAGTCTCTACTGCCGTGCGCCTTGCCTCTTATTGTTCTGTTGATTTCTCTTGTCTGATTCGAAACCTCCATTTGGCACAAACATAGGGCTCATGCGCCCCCAAACACCTCCTTTTTTTATTTTTTTTTATTTTGCGCGCCGCGCCTCCTTTTTCACCCTCTACCTTACCCCTTGCCACTTCCTTTGACACAGGCGCCCCTGTGCCTCAGGACTACATGTTCCGGCCATGGGACTCGATGTGGCCTACTGGCTATGCGCCCCAGGACACTTCGAGGATGCCCGTGGAAGATGCCGGCTCGCACCACGCTTCGAAGCAGTTGGGGGTGTGGTTAGAAAAACTCGTCGTTTGTGCGCAATTACCCGCGCCTTGGCGGTACATCCATGCGCCTCCGGAGGCGCGGATCGGTCTGTGCGGCGACGGGTGGGTGGGCGTGTACCAGGAGTTCATCCGGTTTGGCATGCGCTTCCCCATTGAGCCTGTCCTCGAGGGTGTCATGACCTCCTATCGTTGCTCCCTTGCGCGCCTTTCTCCCGCCGTTATTTTATACACAATTATTTTTCGCTACCAGTGCCACAGACTAGGGATGGCAATGAGTCGGGTTGGGTCGGGGTTTGCCAAACCCAAACCCAAGCCCATTGGTTTATCCATGAAAAAAACACGGGGTAAAACCCACTGGGTTTGAAAAACTCAAACCCAACCCAACCCGCTAGGTATCCGCGGGTTCATGGATACTCACGGGTTTTTGTCGTAAATAATTTACAATAACAACTTCCTATCAAAATTAAAGTCAAATATCAATATCTCAATACAAATTATCCATATTTAAAACACCATTCTAGAAAATTCAAGTAAATCACAAATTAATTATACAAATTGTTCAACACCAATATAGAAAACTCAAGAAAATTGAAGCAAATCACAAATTATCCATAAATAACATAATTAATTGAAAGCTTCTTCCTTTCAATTAAGTTTCTTCACTCTCCACTAGATAACATCAACTTCATTCTAAACAATTAGAAAGAAAAATTAGACATGTCTCCACAAACATAAATAAGATTAGTTGTTTAGAATATTAAATATACCGAAAAAATAATTATATGGGTGTGGGCGGGTACCCATGGGTCGGGTTTACCTAAACCCAAACCAACCCGGTGAATAGTGAACGAGTTTAAACCCAAACCCGGCCCAAAACCCGTCAACACGGATTTTACCCGTGTTGACCGGGTTGGGTCGGGTGGGTACCCATGGGTTCGGGTTTTGTTGCCATCCCTACCACAGACACCACGTTGCCCCCACCTTCAAACTTTTTAAACACTTCTTCAAAATGACGAAGAGCGCCAACTTCCTGAGTTTGCAAAGGCGCACGGGGTTAGGGTATGGATTCATCAGTAGTTGCGTGAAGATGGGGCGCACGTGGTTTGACTCTTTCTTCTTCGTCAAACCACGCGAAGTGCCTTTCTTTGCGAGCGGGCGCCCTGTGAGCTCGGAGTGGTCCCCCGGGAATCGTTTCTCTTTTAACAAGGTGGAGCCCCTTAGCTAGGCTGAGGAGGCCATGGCCAAGTGCATATCCGCCCACCCTATCGACCTCGAGACAGGAAAGGAGTATGCTCGCGCTCTCGCCGAATTCTACGGCGATGGTATTGGTTATGCGCCCTTTTATTGCTTAAGCGATTCACTAATGCTGTGATTTGTTGTTCTCATGCGCTTTTGTTCTTTGGTGTGGTGCAGGGACCAACTTCACCTCGGTGAACAACTTGATAAGGTCGAAGCTCGACCTACTCCGCAATGTGAATGCCGGTCGGGCCGCCCTTCCAACCAGGCGCCTCGACCGAAGAGAGTACAACCTCAGAGGGTGAGAGGTGCAGCAGCTGCAGGCGCCTCATGGACGGGACACGACGCCTCCCCTCTACCGGCCGGCTCAGAAGGTGAGGCGGCAGGCCGCGGCCCGTCTCCCACAGAGCATCGCACCCCGTCCGCCTCAACTCCATCTTCCACCTCCACGCCTCGGGAGACTGTCGGGGTGAGCACTCCTCCTTCCCCCTCTTCCGCCGCGTTTTGTAAGAGGGAAGGTGGTGCCTTGCGCGACAAAGGGAAGAGATCCAAGACTGCCACCACCAGCGGAACCAGTTTGCCCCCGAGTTTCGTGGAGCCAACAATTGTGGAGCACACCGGCCAGGTGATTTCGCCATACTTCCAATCCAGGTGCCCTCTTGTCAAGGCGCCAGTGGACGTCCCTGACAAGGCGGCCAAGGAAGTCCCTGCCTCTATTCAAATGGCGAGGGCGCATTATGACATGGTTGAGCACCCAGAAGGCCTTATCTCCGCCAAGCCTTGGCTGAAATTGATCAACATGAGCGTCCAGGTAATGTTTTTTGCCTTGAGGCGCATGAGACCTCCCTTGCTCTCTCACTTGCTTGAGTTTGGTTATGTCCTCTGTTACTAACTATCCCGTCATCTTTGTGTTTGCGCGCCTCAAATTATGCTTTTGTGCGAGGCCACTACGCGGGAGATCGCCAAGATTGCCCAAGAGGGGACAGACGCCGCTGTCTCCGCGGAGCGCATGCACGCTGATCTGGATACGGCCAAGTCTGACTTGGAGGCCAAGTTGGCGGCCGAGCGCCTCAAAACCAGGGCGGAGGTTGAAGAGGAGGCTAAGGCGCAGGCCGAGGCGGATAAGGCCGAGTGAGAGGGAGTGGAGGAGGAGCTCCGAGAGGCGACGCCTTGCTGGAGGAGAAAGTCGTCTTCCACCAAACCATCGACGACCTGGAAGAGGCCAATAGGAAGCTGAAGAAGTCCCGGGAGCACTACAAGCATGAGCTGAAGAAGTCCTAGACTGTCGCCGAACAACTGGACCAAGACTTGGCCAACTATTTGGACTCGGATGCAGGCAAGGATCTCCAAGCCAACGTTGTGATCCAGACTGTGGAGACGCTAAGGGACAAGTTCCACGCTGACCATCCCGACGTGTCGTTCGACGCAATTGCTCTTATTGAGCATGTTGTGTCCACCATGGAGAGTCGGTCGGGCGCCTCGGGAGCTGCGGCCTCAGCCGGAGGCGGTGCGGGAGCGGATGCTGGTGGGGCCTCGCCTACTGATGGCGCGACGGCCGGTGATGAAGGCAGTGGGGTGGACGAGGAAGTGGAGGCGGATGATGAGAAAGTTGACATCGAGGAATGAGGCTACTGTGACGTATCTTAGTTGCTTAGTTGAGGCGCATGGCCGTTTTTTTTTAATGAATGAATGAACATGAAGTTTTATTGTCCTCAGCATGAATACCGACCTTTCTCCGTGTTTAACTCTAACGTATCTTAGTTGAGGCGCATAGCCATGTGTGAACCTTCGTTAGAGCGCATGCGGTTAAGGGCGCATTATACCTGCCTTGCATTTGCCTTTGCTCTGGCGTTATTCTGGCGAGTTCCTCGCGGGCGCATGTGATTAGGGCGCTTTATACCTACCTTCGGACGAGACCTTGGACGAACTTCATTTTGGGCGCAAACAGTTATGGCGCTTTGCATTTGCCTTTGCTCTGGCGTTATTCGGGCGAGTTCCTCGCGGGCGCATGTGATTAGGGCGCTTTAAGTTTTATGCAACATAAATATATGGCGTAATTGGGAGGGCACATTTGGAATTACTGTTCACACACAGGGCGCAATTGTGGGGGCGCATTTGGAATTACCATTCATAAATATAGGGCGCGATTGGGAGGACGCTTTTGGAATCACTTAAACAAAAACTAAGGGCGCAATTCAGTTAGGGCGCTTTACACATTCAACACTCTTGTCTGCCTCCTGCACAAAACATGCACC